TTCTTAAGAGAGGCAATAGCTGAGTAAGCCATACGGAGTCATTTTCTGATTCTTTAGCAAAGCCTTTTTGGTTGGCCACATAATTAAATCCTTCTACTGCCTCTACAGCTTGCCTATTAATTGTGATGTCCACTTGCTGTCTATTTGTGTTAGTTGGCTCTGTCACAGATCCCTTTCCTGGTCACTCACTAAGTTTGCTTTGTGGGGAATCCACAACTCTGCACTTTGGATTCCTCAGGGTTTTTAAAGTTCCTGGAGCCTGAACGGAGCCCAGCCACAGCCCCAATCTCAGGGTCCCTCAGTTCACTCTCAAGGTGCATCTCTTCTATTTAACACCCTCTTCCAAGTGTTGGAACCCACTGCCCAGTCATCTAAACCCTCTGGGCACAGCACTTACCCCTCTGACTCTCCCAGGTGTGAAACTTCTGGTTTACAGTTTAACTCCGGGGGTGGGGGAGGGGTTGGGAGTATTTGGAGATGATCTGCGTTCTTCAGTCTGGCAGGATCCTCCATCCCCTTGTCTACAATGCCCCTGCAGCAGCCACACTCAGGGTGTAAAAGGTTCTTAGTTCCCTACTGAGAGTCCCTTGCTGGGGTCACCTGCTTCTTTTATTTTGCTTTCTGGTAATTTACCATTAATCTTAAATGCCCTCCCTTAAGACAAGAGGAGGAAGTGTCTTCTTCCAGGTAGAGCAAACCTATTGTCCCAAGGTGTTTTACTTTGAATAGACCATTATTGAGTGCTGGTCATTCACCATTGTCTCTAGCCTGGCAGGGACATAACACAACTCTGCTAACTCACTGGGGATCCACAGACGTCTAGGCTTTCCATAACACAATAATTTCATGATACATTTCATAAAATCATCCAAAATTCAGAAGTGGTACAGACAGAACCCCCCCATTCATCACAGCATCAATGTACACACATTTTGTTTTTGTCATATTCATGAACAGTCCATATTCCTAACAGTTTTTTGACTCCAACATTAGTTGTATTGCATTGGTGATTGTAGCAAAGAGTGACATCTCATCAGCATATCAAAGATTGATTAAGAGGTGCCCACCAATGGAAATTCCTGTTCCTTCCATTTCATCACAACTTTCCAAGCTAAAATCTATGTATATGTTAAAGAGGCTTGGGGACAAATCACTCATTATCACCTGCTTCTGTTCACACCATTTAATATATGCCACGTTAACTTTGTATTGTTCCAGTGTTTTTAAATTCAAAATGTTGCATGATACCAAGTCAAATGCTTTACAGAAGTCTCAGTGTATTACACCAGCACTACTACCTTTATCAGTCAAACTAATAATCTTATCAGAAAAAGATATCAAGTTAGCTTGACAGATCTATTCCCCATACATCTATGCTGATTGGCATTAATCGTATTATCCTCCTTTAATTCTTTATTATTGGAGTCCCTTACCATCTGATCCGTCATCTTCCCTGGGATCAATGTCACACTGAAAGACCTATCATTACATAGGTCACCCCATTTACCCATTTAAACTATTGGCACAACATTAGCTTTTTTCCAGTCTTCTGGCACTTCCACACTGTTCGAAGACTTATTGAAAATTAACATTAAGGTTCAGTGAGCTCATTTAGTCAGCTCTTTTAAAACTCTTGGATGCAAGTTTTTCAGACCTGCTGATTTAAAAATGTCTAACTTTAGTAGTGGCTATTTATCATCCTCCTCAGTTACTATTGGAATGGAAAGATTGTCATCATTATCATCACAGGATATGACTACATCCATCTGGCTTTTTCTCAAATACAGAACATAAATATTTATTGAACACATCTGCCTTTTCTGAATTATTATTGATAATGCTACCATTTCTATCTAGTAATGTTAGGATTATTTTTGTTTTTAGTATACTTAAAACCCACCTTCTTATTGTCCTTAACTCTGCAGCCCATTGATTTTTTCTTTGCTTCCCATATCAATCGTCTACAATTCCTAGCTTCTGGTTTATATTAATTGCTATCAACTTCCCCCCTTTCTTCCATTTGTGATATATTGTGGGTTTTGTTTGTTTGTTTGTTTGTTTGTTTGATATCTGTCTCCACTTCCCCTCTAAGCCAGGTCAATTTTTTAGCCAGTACAGCACCCAAGTGGAACTAGCACCAAGCCAGAATTATACCATTTGCATTATTGTTGCTAACATATTTATTTACTTGCAGAGATCATGTACCAAAGGTAACAAAGTTCAGTGTTCTGCCACAGGGACTTTCAATTACCTGAACAAAATGCCCCCTCTTGGAACATCTCCATAGCTAGTTCAGACTAGCTTCTAATCACTACTGAAGTCAATTACTGACATGTTTAGTAGACAAATGGTGTATGGATAGAAGACCTCTGGACATCCTCTCCTGCCACCCTCCCCTTTCTATGTTGAAGGATTTTTTGTTTGGACTAAGCTTGGGTTCATCCCTGCTTCTGATCCACTTGATAGTTTACTGCATTGTGTTAAATTCAGTGTGGCTGGCTGGGTAACAAATGGACAAGCTATAAACTGGGGCCACAGGGGCTTGCAGTTGTCAGCACAGTGATAAGCTAGTGCTTTATCATCAGAAACTAAAGAGTACTTAAATGATACCAGCTCTAGTTGTGGTCATAATTTATTGGCCTCAAGAGATTACTTGCTGTATGGTGCCCCTGCCTTTTCTCTTTTGAGTTTTTGTTTTGCTGTAGTTGGCATTATAAAATCTCAGCAATCCTCTTTCACAAAATCTTTATCTCCACAATATAAGAAAAAGTCAGAGAGATTATAGCAGAGAATTGGAGAGACTAACAATACACTGGAAATTTTTATTTAAGGCCATTATAAAATACTTCTGTAAAAACAGAACGAACACTCCCCTACTCTCATGAAGTATCCTTCTTTATGCATGTTTTCCTAATTTTTAGTTAAACAGGGTATTTTTTTCACATTGGCATTTTTATTGTGCTCTTTTATTAATGTCATGAACAAATTTTCAACTGTGTTCACCCACAAGAACGGGCCAGGAAATTATTTTTTCCCCCTGCAAAAAAATTTTATGAAAATGAAAATATCTTTTTCCATTTATTTAAGCAATGGATTTTGTTTTTTAATTTGCAAAAAAAAAAAAAAAAAACCACACTTTGTTGTCAAAAGCCTCTTTTCATAATACGTTTTTCAACTATGTCTACTCAGCACCTAGCATCTCCCATTGAAATCATTTCAGTTAGGTACATCAGTACCTTGAGAATCTATATTTTAATTACATTTTGTAACATGTCTCGACCACCTAGTGTAAATAAAGGGTTAGCTTTAATTCAAAATCATGAAGGAATTAAAGCACAACTAGGAAACAATTCTGTCTTTTTACAAATTAACATTTTGATCATTGTTACTGTTAATCATATTTATTATGATAGTGCCTAGAAACCAGACAAGAATGGGGCCCCATTATGCTAGGCATTGTACAAACAGAACAGTAGAAAACCTCTGCTCTAAACAAACAGAACAGACAGAGGGTGTGGAAAAGGGATATAACATACAAGAGTCCATGGATAAACGTGAAATGATAGTTTCACATTTTGTGTTGCTTTGTCTCTGGTATTGCTTCTTATGGAACAACTGGATGATGTAAATGGTGGGGATGATCTTTATTACTGAGGGGTGCACTAAGACTGTGATTGTGCCTTAGAAAAAAATCTTACTTTTAGCAAAACTGGCTAAAAATGATGAGTAGTCGGTGGTTTGGTTTTGTTGTGTTGTCCATTTACCTGGTGGAATTTTGTAAAATGTTTAAACTTTAATCATAAGGTCAGTTTCATTATGAAAGTATGATAAAAGCATCAGAAATGGTGAAATTCAACCCTAAGATAAACTTGTGACTGTTTTAACTGATCCTTTCCCACAGCATGCACTATGTACTTATTAGTGAAGTCAATTTAATAATATAACTGGTAAATTTGATTGCCGCATTTCAACCTGACACTATATTTTATAAGAGTTTGTGTAACACTGCATGTCTTTTTGAAGTTAACCTATATGTTCCCAGTGTAAAATACAGTTTTCTTCTTAAAATAAAGACACGTGATAAAAACCTATTTCTTTCTTTGAGTTGGGGAAGCTAGCACCTTAACAATGGAAATACTGTGGGGATTGATCCATGTTCTACCCCTGTGCTTTCCGCCACTACATATTTTAGGAACCAATGTTTCCTGTAAACTGCACACATGCTGGTGAGGAAGGAGGGGGAGCAGGATTCAGAGGAGCTGAAGTGGCCACTGTGGTGCCAGAGATTGGCTGGGGAACAGGTAGGAACCAGGATGAACAGGCTGGGGCAGGGGCCTGCTTCCCCCCTGGCAGCCAGTGAGAGAAATGCAAACCACCAGGTCGCCCTTCCCAGCCTGGCATGAGCTCTCGGCCCCCACTGAATCTCAGCTACTCCCTTGGCAAAGCACCAACTCCCCTTCCTATCCCTCAGTCTCGCCATTCAAAGTGAGCATCTGCAGCACCTGCTTTGGACAACACTGATACTTTATACACAGCTCTGTAGAAAGGGGGAGGGTGCTTAAGCTGCACCATCATAGGAGTAGCCTCAGGAACCATGGAGACCAAGACACATTCCTCTGAGTCACAGTTACACCCCTGCTTCTTCATTGTTCCACGAGAGTTCCCTATACCAGCAACAAATTATGATGTGTTAGGTCAGCTGAATTAGCCAGGTTTCCCAACCCCACTTAACTCACAATCCAATTGGCAAAGACTAAGTGGAGTAGTATCTGCTTACTCCTGTGAGCCCAGACACAAGGTCTGGGTAGCCTGCACAGGGCTGCAAGGAGGTTTTTTTACTCACTATTACTCTGTTGAGTGGATGTATTGTGCAAGTCAGAAATCTAGGACTTTGTCATGGGAGTGAATTTAGTACTTACCAAAGTAACAGCACTAGTTAAAGCGAAGCAGACAGATCCTCTTCAAGGTTCCTCACAAAATTTTGACAAAACACCTTAGTTTTGACGACTCACAGACCCCTTGCTGTTCCAGCCCTGGATCTCTTTTAAGAAGTGACTGCCACTGATATCAATTTGTGGTGGCTTTGTGATGTCCACAATATCACTGTAACCAAGATTTAACAGTTTTTCTACCCAAGGTCACTTCTTCATGTAGGATGATGTGTGGAGACCTTCAAGACACCTCACGGGAGAACTGCATGTGCACATAACAGTACATTTATAATATGTTGTTTTATTATGAGAATGAAAACTGAACCACATAAAGACACCCTTTTTGTGATATTGTGAAAACCCCTATAAATAAATTATCTTTGTTGCCCAACCTGTCCGACCCCAGACCCTTCACTCGGCCGACGATGCCTCATCACCACCTTGTTTGTCTGCTTCTACCTCAGCTAACTGTATGCTTTCTCCCATGCCATGGAGGATCCTGATCCAAAAAACTGCTTCCCCCTGCACATTTAAATCCCTCCTGACCACCTACCTCTTTTCTGATGCTAATGAGAAACTGGAGACCCAATCTTCAGAGCTGCCAAGTGCCTTCAACTCACATTCGCTTCAATAGGAGTTGAGGCATTCCGTTTCTACTAGGATCAGGCCCTAGCTGATTGAGGCTTTAATTTTACAAATGAATACCTGGATGAATTCGTGCACCTTCACAGAGCACCACTGATTTCAACAGGACTCCCAGTGCATGCAAGCGTCTGTCTGTAGGCAATTGTAGGATCAGTGCCTAATTCATCCACTTACTATGCCTACCATTTTCTTGATAACTTTGTTAATTGTGTTCAGAGGGAGGATCACAAGCCTGTTCTTATACCTATTGTCAACTTCAGGAAGCATTTTTCCAATTTCCTGTACATTTTGTTAGTCCATTTCTTTCCTCTCCCAGCTGATTCTCTCCTTCTCCCCCCTTTACACTCTATTTCATCTGCCCCATTATTTCTTCCCCCCCCCCTTCGCTCCCACATGAATCACTTCCATCCCCAACTGCCTCTGATTCCCAATTTATTCTGTACATTTCCCTCACTTACCTGATAATGAACTTTTCCCTCCTTTCCTCTCCATTGTTCTCCCCCCACCATTGCAGTAGAAAAAACAGAGCCATGTGCTCCCTGCCCCATAATCATTCACCTCTGCACATATACATATATCGGCCACAGAACAGAATGGCAAATGAAACAGGGGAAATGGGCAATATCCAGCTGGTCTTCTGCCCACTCTGAGGTATACCCAGCATGCCCAGTACCCAGGATTAGAGCTGGTTGGAAATTTTTCTGATGTAACATTTTTCAGGGCAGCCTTACTGGCAGGTTGATGAGGAAGCCCAGCTCCCAAGCTCCTCTGCTACTTAGCAGCTTGCTGAAAGAATGGCTGCAGAGGCAGGGATCTCAGGGCTGCCAGGCTCCAGAAGACCCCGGGAAACTTATTTCATTTCAGTGTATCCGAAACAAAATTTTGTGGACTTCTGGTTCTGTGAAAAATTTCAAGTTTTTGAATGTTTCTCAGATTCAGGATTAAATGTTTTCCAAATACTCACAATTCTTTACGGAACTAGAGATCTCTTTCCTAGCCCCCAGAGAACACTGACCAGGACTGTGAATGCCTGGGATGTTTGCAAATTATCCAGGACAGTTAACATTAATTCAGGATTTGGGGCCTTTTTGAGAAATGTGCAGTAGATTGAAGACATGAAATTCATAACTTGTGATCCAAAACAAATTTGAACTCAGTTCTTCATAGGATAAAATCCAGTGAATTAACTCAACCAACACCAAATTTCTGACCTGAGCTTTGCACAAGAATAGAGTGATAGTGATAGCGAGAGGTAAATGTAGTTTTATGCCACCTTTGCAGGAATCATTTTCTGGGTCTGTCCTGACTGGCCCATGGTATAAGTTAGAGCACACTCCAGTCTACTCAAAATCACACTCTGTTTCCAATGAACTCTGGGAAGCAGTATATAACCTTAGGGCAGTGCATTCTAGCTTTGTCTCCATCCTGCTCCTCATGTACCTGGCGCTGGTTAGAGTACTTGTGCCAGTTCTACACTTACTAGGGAACCCCATTGTGTAGGGCACATCTTCAGAGGGCCTTTAAAGCCCCTTTACATTTCCAGAATAATGTAAAGGGGGCTTTGTTAACTAATAACCAGGGCCAGTAATCAAAATTAAGCTAATCGCTATATGATGATTAACCATGATACAAAGATTAAATAGTTATTGTGATCCCGAATACTGTAGTGTTAAGGACCTGCTCCCTTAAAATGAACCCTTACTCATATGAGTAATCCATATGAAGTATGAGGGCTACTTGTAAGTGAATAAAATATATAAGATAAGGTAACAACTTCTTAACTGAATATGGGTTGCAAGATTAAGCCCTTAGTTTCAATTTTCTAATTGGCAACTATAGAATAAGTAGTATCTTTGTTGCACAATACTACCATTAAAGCATTTTATGACAGAAAGATTGTTTAAGACTAATAAAGTGAAATCTGGGTCTTATTTAAGTCAGTCTGTGGGAGTTTTCCATTGATTTCAGTGGGGCCAGGATTTCACCCACAGTATAGAACAAATGATAACTTTCCTATGGGTTTTTTTGAGCTGTTCTACAAACTCTATTGCAAATATAAATATTCGGACAGGAAATATTGCCTTGTGGTTAAGACATTGGGCTCAAGAGATTTCCATTTAGTTCCGTGTGGCTTTGGGGAGGCCACTTAATTTTTCTCCATCCTCTGTTTCTTGTGTAACACTTTCATTTTACCAATTTGTGTCTAGCATATTCAAATTGTAACTCTCCGGGGCAGGACCTGTTGCTATGTGAATCACATCTGCAACAGAGTTTGGTATCTTCAATGTACTGCATATTTTTCAAATTGGTCAAAAGACTTGATTTGCCCAGAAACTATTCTAGGATTTACATAGATGCTCTGGTTTAATTGGGACCTTTAGGTGCTACTGTACTACAAATAATAATAGATCTCATAGGTTGTTTAAAAAAACCCATCATTTTCTATGGAATTCAATAGAACTTTCCATAAGGTGAGAATGTGTTAATCAGCTGCATTTGTCCTATAGAGCTATCACCAAGAGGTCCCTCATTCAACAAAACAAATTATGTTAAATTGTATGTGAAAAGATTATGAGTTTGTTCTACAAAAATTCAGTGTGAACTGTCGATATTACTTACCAAAAAGTATAGAGAAGTTTGCATAGCGTTCTAGAAAGAACATCCTGATGTAGATTGGAATTTAAGGTAAACAATTTGGATTTGAAACATCATGGATCTATCCCAAGAGAAAAGAAATTTAGAATAGATGCTGTTTTGGGGATCAGCATCCAAGGGGAATATGTCATCACCGGGATTAATGTAACCAAAGATGGAAAGATAAAATGCACAATTTCTCTTCTTTTGCATAAACAAGATCAAGCTCATCTTGTGCTCATGCACATACTCAGATAAAAGGAATTCTAAAGATTGTTCCAGGATAAACAAAGAAGACCTGAACATTCCAATGTATCATTTCTATTGCTACATGAATCTGATGGTGTTTTTCATGACTCAGATTCCTTGGCTAACAGACCGCCTGTCTGTAAGCCTATATGATTTTCTCTCTGAAGCCATATAGATTATAAAGTGAAAGTTCAGCCTTTGTTTCCATAGACTGCATTATTAACTAAGCTCCATTTAGAAGCTTTGTTTGTATGAAAATGTAATACTGAAGGTGAGCAGTTACATGATTTTTTTTTAAAGTTATTTCTTTACATGAAACTTTGGAAAGCCCATTGACTTTTCTGCTCATCAATCCAAATGCCTAATCCACATACAAGTACTGTGAATAAAGTACCGTACTTTATATTCATGTTGTGTGCATCCATATCCATTTATCATATTGCATATGCATATACTTCCTTAGGAAATTTAGTTAAGGTTGCATGCCCAAATCAGTATATTTTACCTTTTAGGAATTTTATATTTAATATTAAACTACTGTACCTCTGCACCCACACCGATCTCAGTTTAAAATCTTCCCTTCTGATCACATAGAGTGTCAGATCTTCAACTAATGTAAATTAGTATAACTCAGCTGAATTCAACAATGACCCAAAATTGGCTCCTCAGCCTTCCATGAGCCAAAATCAATCACTTAGTTTCCAGTGCGTCAAAATAGCCTAGCAAATCTACTAATACTTACAAATACTTACATAGGGACAGTGGTGGTGCATGAAGGGGTGGAATCAGAATTCAGGGTTTCCTGGCTCCCGGCCTGGTCTCAGTCCACTAAACCAAGATGACAGATTTTAAATTTTACAAGTACATATTTTCTAGCAAAAGGGGCTTTTGTTTGGATTTCTTGCACATGTGTAAAATATGTCTAGCCTTTCCAAATTTCTTTAAAAATTGAGTTTTGGGGAGGGGTGGAGGGTATGGGAAAATGATGTAAAAAGTTGAAAAAATCATGCCCATCTTTTTTTGTGGCATAGCTGTACCACAGGACATATATTCTGGTAAGTTGCTTGAAGGCTGGTGATGACATGTCCAAGATGAAAAGCTTCTCTGCATTAAGACCCTTTTAAGATACAAATGAATATTTTTGATGCATATTGAACTTGACAAATTAACTCCTGGATGAATTGTTTACAAAGGGAGTTGTTTAAGACTATTAAGATATACAGTGAAATGTTCAGTGCTATGTGTTAACATTACTCCAAAGTGTATTTAAAATTTTAAAAAGGTCTGGTTTAGCTTAAGTTTCTCTCTTTAATCATGCATACTCCCCCAGGCTGCCAAAAAAGCAGCCATCAGCATTGCGTACTGAAGGCAGCTTAGTGCTGTCAGCCATCTTATCTCCCCTGTTGCATGGACGATAGCTTTTATCTGTGAGTATAAACATTAAAATGGAACCATAATCCTACCTTAGTCCTATAGAAGATTTCCAGCTGCTTCTCAGATATGAAGAAACGCCTCCTGTTACAGAGAAGAATACACACACACATTTTTGAGTGTAATAAGGCAGCTAAAGGCAATATAGTTTTGATGAACAGTATAAAAATATTTGGGGGGGGGGGGAGAAATCCCCTCAAACCCTAAAAAATTTTGGAGCCAATGAGCTGAACCTGAGCATCAGCCTTATAGGGAGCCCTGACCTAACTTGTACCAGGTCATTTAAAATCTCTAAGAATACTAACTTGGCACTGTAGCATGATCCTCTTTAAGTCTTTTGTCTTCCTAATACACTTTTTTTATTAAAGTGCTTTTTATACAATGTACCTCAGAGCCTCAGTCTAAATAAGGAATGACAAAGAGAAGAATAGCAATGATAACAGTTATGAATTCTGAAAATAAATATAGTGTAAGTAGGCTTTAGCTTTGTTTCTGAAATAGGAGGAGTCAGAATTTCTAATCACTTTGGGCAGATAATTCCAGAATTTCTGCATAGAAACTGAAATCTTTTTTCTACCCAGTAGTTGGTTGAATACAAGGACATTTTCCTAAACATGCTTGACCTCAGCAGGATACCTCAAATGGGGGGAATATATAACATACCTAATAGATGTAGTCTGTCTTTATTCTCTAACCTGCTCTTTTTATTCAGAACCTGCATTATTTCTGTCTCTTCCTGCAGTCACATCACTGTAAGAGCCTTCTTGCTATAGCAACTGCCAAGTGGAACAACTTCCCTATATCTTTCTGCTGCAATGATTCTCCATCTACTTTCAAATCTCAGATGAAAGTTTACTTTCTTCCCCTTAAATTTCTCTCTTCCTCTTTCATATATATGAATGATATGGATTATATATGAAAGAGGAAGAGAGAAGTTTACATGTATAAATTAAAATCTATCTTTGCAACTGCAGATTATATTGTTTCTTCTGTGGGCCTGTGTGGGAGGGATAGAAGAGTGCTGCGTCTGTTTCACTGTTCGCCAGTTCATCAGAAGGGGGATTGGGCTGATAGGTAGGGAATGCTATGAGCATTAAGAAATGGCAGACAGGATATGATAGTATGTCTTTTGCTGTCTCCCCAGCCTCCACTGAAACCAGTGGAAAGACTCCCACTGACTTTGATGTCACTAGATCAAGCCCTAATATTAGGCTTAAATGATGCAAATATTTACATATGTGCTTAATTTTAAGTCAATGGGACCTATTCACATGCTTAAGATTAAGCACATGCATTAATGGTTATTTGATTGGGGCTTTGATGCTTCTGGAAGCGTGCATGTGTATGAGTGGGATTTTCAAACCCATGTAAGGGATTTAGACACTCAATTGTCAATGGAAATTAAATGTAACTGGTTATCCAAATACCCTAAGCAGATTTGGAAATCTCAGTCTACGTGTAGTGGGCACATTTTAAAAGTTCTTCCATTTTTAAAGAGTCTAGTCGTTCTAATGATATTCCCTCACTTAAGAATGAGGAAGTCTGCTGGAAACAATAGATCCTTAATTTTCACATTTTTAATGGTGTCATATGTATGTCTATTTGTATAATAGGTAGATTCTTCTAAAATATATAACATCTGCTAATTTAACAAAACAGGAACATTTTTTCCCTATTCTATGTAGCTGAAAAGTATACAAGCATGTATTATGCTTAATATGGTTTCTTTCCTTTATTTTCTTTTCACTTAATATCTTCCAAGAAGCTTTGATTGCAGCAGTTTTTAAGCTTCTGTATGAGCATTTGACATTCTTACCATGGGATTTGATTCAGAAATATGCACTCAAATCAAAACAGTTCTCATCAAACCAGGACTGCTCGTGTCCTCCCTCACCAAAATCAATAGTTTATACCAACTCGATTAGATCAGGCTAGATATACAAACTGCTTCTGGCATCTTGATCGTTGTCAGCTGCATATAAGTAAACAAATTATGTCAAGAAAAAATACATTATACAACTGTTCATTTCCATTAGAATATAATCCTTTTGTGTAAAGAATATCACACTACTAAATTACACACACACACTCCAGGGCAGCCTCTGACATTTTTACTCACTGAATTCTACCACAGAGCTAATCCAGCTCTCATTAAAGCCCATGGTAAGATTCTGATTTACTTCAGTGGGCATTGAACCAGGTTCTTCACAAACAGTCCCACTGAGGACAATGGAACTCATGGAGTAATCAAGCCTATAACTTTTAATAATTATTCTAATAATATCTGAAGCAAAAATAATATGGTGCAAATTAAAAAGAGAAAGCTGCTATTTTTAATCAAACTCAGGGGTTTCTTTGTTAATTTTTGTCTTGTATGAAGATGATTAAAGTGGAACAAATCGTTAAAATAGTTCCCAACTTCCTAGTGCTACTGAATCAGGCAAAAGTCTTACACTGAAGAGATAATTGGCATATTTAGCTAATCTTTTATTAATGTAGCACAATTTAAAATACTTCTTGTCTTGGAAAAATCAGCATGAAAGTTTTCATGTCAATATGACACAACTCCCCTTTTAATAATTCTCTGCAGGATTCACTTTTTTCATGACAAAATGAATTTTTTCACTTTTATATGTACTGTTTATCATAGAGATTTTATTCTGAGGAAAGTGGTTCCTTGATTTGAAAAAAAAGCACTAAATCCTTGTATTACAGACTTCTATTATGGGAGCTGTACAAAACTTTTGGTGATACATTTGAACCTGAAAATGTGTACTTTATACAGTTTATATATAATGTGCTACTTTATAGCAAATCATATTTCTTTTGAATCATGTGAAAACAATATATCCTAGATCAAGGAGGGCCAGCTGACTACCAAAGGACAGACTATCCCCCAAAGCTGCACACAAAGGGGTTAGTTCTGGTCCTAAATTCTCCAAGACTTAAATGTGCAGGATTGAGCCCTCCTATTGTGTGGTTTAAATAAGCAGATCTCACCAGGTGTTAAAGTCTGTACTTGGACTAAAGTATAGCATGCCATGAATTAATAGAGAATTTTGTGCCCAGAGATTTATCTCTGGGCACAAAAACACCTAACCAAGGAGGAGCAACAAGGTCCTACTCACGCAACAAAGAGTAAGATTCGTCTCCCACACAGCTTCCTTGAGGAAAAGAAAGAGAATGGGATGATGCCCATGTAATAACCTGGCATATCCATTGCAGTTCCTAACCAGGACTGGGGAAAAATCAAAGAGGAGACCATCCTCACATCTGTCTCAGGTTTTCCATTGAGCACAGTGAATCCTGGGACAGGGTTTGGGCCGGTTAGTTAGTGCTGCATGTATACTCATGCAGTGCAGATATGATCAATAATATTGCTATTACTATACCTCACCAGTGATTTCAGCACTTTAAATTATGAAACACACCTTACTCAGGGACACAACTCCCTCAGCCATGCTGTACCCAGAAAGGATGGAACTCTGCAAGCAGGAGACTGGAAACTGGCTCTAGTATGTGCAGTGGTACAGTAGGATATCACTGACCTAGATACTTTTACTTGAAACAAAACTTAGTTATTTTCTCATTGAATAAAACTAAACATTACAGGGCAAAATTCTTCTCATCTGAGAATCTGCACTCATAAGTAGAATTGAGTGAATAATTAAAAAAGAATAATGTGTAAACTGAGTTTATATGCCCATGGAATACCCATTACGAGTTTGTAGTTTCAGTTGTTTAATTATCTAACAAAAAGTTGTGGTGACTTGCCTATGGACAGACAGAAGGTCAGTGGCTAATGCAGGGACAGAACTCAAGCCCCTCCTCTGGCAGTCCACTACCTTATCCTCCAGACCACACTGTCAATGAAAATTAAGGTGTGATGAGGGGCTTCCAGAGCCAGATCCACCCACCATTACCTGTGTGTGTGTGTGTGTGTCCGTGTCTAATGGCCATTTGTTCTATTTGTCTGCTATTTGACTTGTTCTACTTATTGATAAGTATTTTCCTAATCATTGACAATGACCGGGGTGAAATCTTGGCCTCATTGAAGTCAATGGCAAAGCTCCCATTGACTTCACTGGGGCCAAGATTTCATTTCCAGTTCAGTACAAGGTATTATGGGAAACATAATTTTACATACTTCAGAATGTAAACAGATTATAGAATGACATAAACAGTACTAACATTACAAAACTCATACAATTCAACTTGAGGGGAAGTGTGGGAAATTACCCTTCCCCTAATTGAACACTGAGTTTGTATATTTACTCTTTTGTCTATTTCAATGCATTTGGAATTAAATTCAAGCATTTCAATGTTTTGGCTTTAAAATCCCTATTCCACAAGGCACCTGCAACATGGGGAAAATACACTAGTAAAGCCACAGGTTCTTAACTGGAAAGCAAGAGGTAAATTTCTCAAGTCCCCAGGAAACAAAGTAGTTAAAAGCCTTGAAAGCCATCCTTATACAGTGAAATCCTGATGGGATTTTCTCTAGAGAACATGAGAGATGCATAATCCATAAGAAACAATATGGCTACCCATTATCTGCCTTGTAATGTCAATAAACACAATTTAAACACAATCCTTGCCAGGATTAAATTATTTAAACTCTTTCTTGCTGAATCTCCCACTCAATTACATTCTATAAAAATGACTGTGGCCATGTGTTTCTATAAGTAAAAAAAACAAAACAAAAAACCCAGAACATTATGAAAGGTATCTGTTCTCCATCTACGAAGGGCAAGTTTCTGATCTCAGTTCCATTGGTATAAAGCTGGATATCCATGGAGTTACTCCAAATCCACACCAGTAGAACTGAGATCAGAATCTGGACCATGGTGTTTACAGAGTTAGATACTGGTAATCTATGGGGCATATGTTCCCTTCTGCTGAGCACGGTAGAATGGAGCAAAGGAATTGAAACCCCACAGAAAGGGTTAGAGCAGATGAATGGAAGCTATGGAATGTCTTTCTCTCTCCCACACCCCACCATGTAGTTGCCTGAAACTTTTTTATGGCACCCATGTGACCAGAACGCTACCAGGAAGAGGACGAAGGATTGGTTAGCTGGGTGG